CTATTGATGGGTAATGAATTGAATAGAATTATTGCGATAGAATATTTGTAGTGCGGGGATCAATTTTATTGACGGGTAATGAATTGAATAAAATTATTGCTACAGGACACTCCTTGTGTGAGGATCGACTTTGGAAGAAGTATTTGCAGTATCAATTTTCGTGTGAGTTCTTGACAAGTGATATGTAGACATGTGTGTTTCAAAATGTTGGTGGTATAATGGAGTAGAGTTGTGGAAGAGTAAAATGATAAAATAGTGAAATAGTAGTATAATGGTAGAGTAATAGAGTGGTAAGGTAGTAGAATAGTAGGTAAAATAGAGGAATAAAATAGTAGTGGAATATTGAAATGGCGGATTAGTACAATAGTAGCATAGTACAATATTGGTGTGGCAGTATAGCAGTGTAGTAACATAGTAGATTTGTAGAATAATAGAATGCATTGGTGGATTGTTAACATAGTAGTGCTGTAGGATAGTCGTATGAAGGAGTAGTTGATTAGTAGAATAGCAACATAATGGAATAGTGGAGCAGAAGGAGAGTAGTAAAATAGTGGAGTAGAACAATAGTAGAGTAGTAAGATAGCACAGTAGTAGAATAATAGAACGGTGGAACAGTAGAATAGTGGAATAGTATAGTGGTATAATAGGAGAATAATAGAATAGTCGAATGGTAGAATAGTCGATGGAACAGTAGAATAATAGAGTAGTAAAGTGCTAGAGTAGTAGCGTAGTAGAGTAGTAGAGTGCTAGAGTATTAGTGTAGTAGAATAGAAGACTAGAAGAGTGGAAGTGTGGAAGAGTAGAGGAGTGGAATAGTAGAAGAGTGGAAAAGTGGAAGAGTGGAATGGTAGAAGAGTAGAAGAGTAGAAGAATAGAAGAGTAGAAGAGTGGAAGAGTAAAAGAATGGAAGAGTGGAAGAGTGGAGAGTAGAAGAGTAGAAGAGTAGAAGAGTAGAAGAGTAGAAGAGTGGAAGAGTAAAAGAGTGGAAGAGTAGAAGAGTAGAAGAGTAGAAGAGTAGAAGAGTGGAAGAGTAAAAGAGTGGAAGAGTGTAAGAGTAGAAGAGTAGAAGAGTAGAAGAGTGGAAGAGTGGAAGAGTGTAAGAGTGTAAGAGTGGAAGAGTGGAAGAGTGGAAGAGTGGAAGAGTAGAAGAGTAGAAGAGTAGAAGAGTAGAAGAGTAGAAGAGTAGAAGAGTAGAAGAGTAGAAGAGTAGAAGAGTAGAAGAGTAGAAGAGTAGAAGAGTAGAAGAGTAGAAGAGTAGAAGAGTAGAAGAGTAGAAGAGTAGAAGAGTAGAAGAGTAGAAGAGTAGAAGAGTAGAAGAGTAGAAGAGTAGAAGAGTAGAAGAGTAGAAGAGTAGAAGAGTAGAAGAGTAGAAGAGTAGAAGAGTAGAAGAGTAGAAGAGTAGAAGAGTAGAAGAGTAGAAGAGTAGAAGAGTAGAAGAGTGGAAGAGTGGAGTGGTAGAAGAGTAGAAGAGTAGAAAAGTAGAAAAGTAGAAAAGTAGAAGAGTGGAAGAGTAGAAGAGTAGAAGAGTAGAAGAGTGTAAGAGTGAAAGAGTCGAACAGCAAAATAGTGGAATAGTACATCAGCAAAATAGCATAATAACTGACTAGAATTCACAGAGTAGTACAATAGATCATCACCACAATAGGTGAACCAATGACACCTTGATTCAGCAAAATAAAATAACAGTGGTCCCCTAAAATAATACCCTAAAACACAATAAAACAGTAAACCCCCAAAATAAAATAGTAACCTGCCCAAACAATAAAACAATAAATTAACCCAGAAAATTTGATGCTCCCATAAACGGCAAATCAGTTCCTAAATCTTAGACTCCAAAAGATTCAAACCCGCAGGTCAATTATTTCCCAGACTAAGCAAATTCCTCCGACATAAAAGTCACGTTCCTCTCTTTATCTTCCGACGCAGTAATCACGGTCATCGGGATAACGATATCTCGTTTTCCCAAAGAAATACGCAGAACAAATACCTGGTTGCTGGAGGTAAGCAAACTTTGAAAATTTACGATAAACAGGCATCGATCGCTGCGAAAGAGGATCGTATACGAGCGAGCTAGTGTTGGCTCGAATCACGTCAGCGCGTTCGAGTCGGCTGCTCCCAGATCGTAGATTCGATGTTCATGGGCGGTCGATAAAAGTTCAACGCGCGTTCCGTCGCTATTACGTAACAGAAAGGCAGCAGGAAGAATAAAATCCCGGGCAATCCTCGGGCGCAATCATCCGGGCGTCACGCAGCTGGATAAAACGGGACGATACGTAACTGTTTTTCCTTCGCAACTTGGTAAATATTTGTTAACTTCTTGCATCGCGATTTGGTTGACAGTCGAATGTAACTAACTATTTACCGCTGCGATACTGAACTGAACGAAGGCAGTGTCTTTCGTGTTTTGTATTCGCTGATCTTCCAATATTCGTGTCATGATTTGGACTTAGTTCAAGAATTCGAGTGAGCGAAAAATATAAGGAAAGTTTGTCACGTTTGGATTGTGATGGCGTCAGGGGTGTAGCCAGATATTATAGCGCCGGGGGTTAACAATTAAAATTCAACGTCACGGGTGTAGCCAAATATTAAAGCACCAGGGGTTAACAATCAAAATTCAATGTAGAACTCGTAAATTATAGACACTTGTGATTCTTGCATAAAGCAAGAGAGCTCAAGGTCATCAAGGCTAGCGAAGCATTTACTCCTTTGTAAATAATTACCCAGTCGAAAACATCTTCACGAATATCTTCGAAATTAAAGTCGAATGGCGACATGTAGTCTCCATACATATTACGGAGAAAGGTTCAGAATGAAGTCCTTGGCAACATATTTCAAGGTCATCGAAACTTATTAAGTGTGTGCTTCTTTGTGACTAATGATCGCATTAATAACATTGTTGCAAATATCTCTGAAACTAAGGTTAAACGGCAATGAAGTATATCAGGAGAAGTTGTTAGTAATGATGTCCTTAATGACATATTTCAAGGTCATCGAGATCGGTGAAGTATGTATCCTTTTGTCAATAATTATCACCTTGATAACACTTTTGCAAATATTTCTGAAACTAAGATGAAACGGTGCTAATGTGTATAGTAATAAATTGTTCAGAATGGTGTCCTTGATGACATATTCCAAGGTCATCGAGATCGGTGAAGTATGTATCCTTTTGTCAATAATTATCACCTTCATAACATTTTTGCAAATATCTCTGAAACTAAGATGAAACGGTGGTAATGTGTATGGTAATAAAATGTTTAGAATGGCGTCCTTGGTGATATATTTCAAGGTCATCATGATCGGTGAAGTATGTATCCTTTTGTCAATAATTATCACTTTCATAACTTTTTTGCAAATATCTCTGAAACTAAGATAAAACGGTAGTAATGTCTATAGTGATAAATTGTTCAGAGTCCTTAACAATATATTCCAAGGTCACCAAGCTGGACGAAACACCACACCCGTCCGTAAATAATCACCACGTCCAAAATACCTTTCACAAAGATTTGAACAGTAGCATTCGTACATTTATCCAAATGTAAAGCCACCCTCTCCCTCGCTATCGCAAGCGACATTTGCATCCCCGTCCCTCGCGCCGCCA